CGTTTTGCACCCCTACCAGCGAAATGTTGTACCCTCCAAATTATGTGCCCTAAAAGTTTGCAAAAACCTATTTTAAAAAATTTTGGAAAACAGAAGAAAATGCTTCAATAGATTTGTATAGAAGTCAAGTGTAGATTGCTCTAACCTATTAAATTTTCAAAGACATAGCTTCATAATCCGCGTTCCCGAATAATTGGTTTTTGAACAAAACACGACCAATACTATTTTAATTTTTCACTAAAATCTTAAAATTTATCGAGAAAAAATATTCCATAAAACAGAAAAGTTTGATTTTGGACGAAGTTCTAATTACTGACATTCTGCTTTCTGTGCTGCAACAATTTGCCACAAATTTAGCTTTGTCTTCCCAATCAGCTTTGTTTCTTTTTTAGCTTGTCCTTCTCCCAGTTGTTGACACCTGCTGATCAAGTAAGCTTCAATTATGTCTTCTGCCCTTTTCCATATTTTTCCTGCTTTCATCGCTTCAAAAAAGAACATATTTCCCCTGTCTTTCTTCTTTCAACATCCCACACAAAAGGGCAAAAATCCAATATCGCTCATAAATGTGCAGCAAAAAGAGTCAATATTGTTAGTTATGAATAGAAGTGGGCGAGAAAGAGGAATGATGAAATTTGATGGGTCAAAATGAGAATCGGGTGACAATACGCTTCCAACTATTCAATGTGCCAATGAAAACGGTTTCGTGGGAGTAAAGTTTATTAAAAGTTTCATGGGACTGACGGAACTGAAAAAATAACAATGTCATAGAGAGAAAGGTAGACAATTATTTTGAAAATGGTTTTTTTTTGAATTCCAGAATATTTTGCATAATTTTTCCAGCTTCCACATGTACCGAAGAGCAGTGCTATGACGCCATTTTTATCATACTCTTCAATCTAACGCAACTGTGATAAAATGCCCAGATTTTTGCTCTTCTAAAAACCTATTTCTTGGAAATCTATGCCCTACAGACCAACTATAATGACTACATAAACTAGATTAATCACATGGTAGTCTTCTGAAGCTTCTCCTGATAAATACCTTAACGTGATATCACTTCCAGTGACACTATCCCTCTCACAACACAAAAGGTTTCTCGTATTTTTGTATTTCAAGTGGTGGAAAGCACATTTTTATGTTTAGTGTCCCCTATGTGTTTTTTTCATTTTTCCTGTTCCGCTCAAAGTTCAACAACACATGTCTGGGAATGTTTGAAGTGGGTAGAAACTGAGAATTGATAAAATGGATCTCTGAAAAAAAGTGTTCAATCTTACCTGTTTTGAAATATTTCGAAACATTTCGAAATCTTAATCCTGTTAGCTATTTTTGTACTAGTATAGATTCTGGATACACTCGCTGCTGGTGTCCAGTACCTAATTGTAGTACAAAAATCGCATAAACTTGGATCGTCATTCTCTAGAGAATAGTAATAATAGAAATAGCAGAAATAATGAAGTAGTAGGAATATCAAATGCATCGGGACAATACTACAATACTACTAGGGTTATCAGAGTATTTGGAGCAAATGAAAGAATCCTATTTACTCTCACTCTTACACATATTGATAAGACTACGGAAATTTGTTTACCGGGGTACATCGGGTGAAATTTCGACACATTCTGAATCGAAAATTTTAGAATGAATGCAAAAATGAAACCTGAGAATTTCTCATCATGAAACTGGAGGCGAAGAGAGACCACAAGTGGGATTTCGCAACTTAAGGTTTCGAAATCTTTTGGAAGTAAGGTACTGAACGTTCGCTGCCCACCTCCACCTCTTTTATATTGCCCTCCGTAGATGACTCATGTACGCTCCGCCCCCTTCCACCATCACAGATTTTTTGCAATCTCTCTATCACTGCGTCTCTCTGTTCAGCAAGCTCTCTTTGCTTATTTTTCTCTGGTTCTCTTTTCTCTCGAAAAGTCATTCAGTAGAGAGCCAGAGCAGTTTCAACTTTCCGATTGGAATTGGTTGATTTTGATTCACAACCACCACCGCCATAAGCCTTCGTCAGCATAATAGAGGGCGTCTGAATGTATATGTGTATTCGTTTATCAGCATACCCCCACACATACATACACAACACTATCGGTTGTTCCGGTCACTGGGAAATAGTGTGCAAGATGAAGAGACGCAAAGGGAAATTGTTGCGAAACTCGTCACCCGACCGGCCGAGGGTCTCCATGACTCACAAGTCACATTGCTGTAAAATTGCTTAGGAAGAGGCTGGAAGAAGTTTGGGGTTGGGAGAAAGGAAGAGTTGGCATGATGAAATCCATTGGAGACATAGAGAAAACAATGTAAAAACACGATCCTTCCTCTTTCCGATCATCAGATTCTCCAACGTTTCGACACTTTTCGAAAGAAATTTGGTATAAAAGAGAGCGAGTCCCTGTTAGAATCATCATTCTCTACTTGACATTCGGTGCTCAACTCGAACTAAAAATATTTACTCCTATTTTCTGATGGGCCAACATAACCAGGTAGGGTAGGACAGACATGCAATTTTTGTACTGCACAAAAGTACTGACTATTTCTCAGCGCTTTTGTCCAGTGCAAGAATGGCAAGAGCTGGTCCATTTTTTTAGGGATTAAACAATTGGGAGGGTTACAATATTTCTTTATTTCAAAAAAATTTCAAAAAGGATTAAATCAAGACTCTATGAAACATCTGAAGCCAAACTATTTTGTCTTATTATGATAGTATTTCTGGTTTCCAAAAATATGAGCCAACTACTGTTCTTGACTTGATCTCTCTGGACAATCATAAATTCATTTTTAAGTTTTTCAAAGAGTTTTTTTTCAGTGGATCATAAATAAACATTTTAATAGAAGGCCATCCAAACGACCAATTTTGAGCCAAGATATCTCAGTTCCTGTGAAAGATATGAAAAAGTGGTCAACTAACAAAATGCTTTCGATATTATGGCAAACATTTTATCAGTTAACTACTTTCAAATATCTTTCACAATAAAGAAGATATACAGGCTCAAAGTTGAAGGCTTGGGTGGCATTTGATTAGTGTTTACGTTAATATCCAGTTTTGCCACAAATTTTGTTCAAACTTTCTCCAGTCGGAAATGCAGAAACCGCCAATTTCTGAGTATCTTGCAACTATAATATGATGCTATTTAGTTTTCAAAGCCAAAAAAACGTTTTCTCATCTGTATTCTAATATAAAACATTTTTGAAATTCAAATCTTCACTTATAATGAACAGGTTCAAACACCTGGCTAGACAGCTGGTCATCTCCAAAGCCGATAATTTTTCCCTTTTGCGAAGGTCAATCTACAGAACATTGTTCCATCATATAGTCATGGAGATACACATGCAAACAGGTACATGGGAAGTAAGAGGACACACATATCAAGACCATGATGTCATGGAAAGTGAAGATGAGAGAGAAAGCAGAAAAAAACGATGAGTCAATAGGAATCACGGGATGGGCCGGGAGAATGAAGCACGATAAAACAGTTATGAAGCAATATAGAGTGAAGCTGAAGAGATCTCAGAGTTTGGTTTTTCACCGTGACAAGAAGAATAAATAAATTATTATCAGATTCTTCCATTTTCCGAAAGTTCCCATTACTTGCCCACTCGTTTTGAATTTTCAAAATGATTCATCTAGAAAAACTGGAAAAAAGTTATTTGCAGAGACATACATGAACTGTTCAAATAGACACCAACACGCAAACAGGGCACACAAAAATGACGTCATCGAAGTTATCGGAAATAGATAGGGATGAGAGTGATTTTGCATAAATGACTTGACCTGTAGTCGCGTTTCAGTCATATGATAAAATATTTCAACAAAAAATAAACTCGAAAAATAGAAATTAAAAGAAAAAAAACGTTCAGAGCTACAGACACTAGACAATGGAACATATTTTCAGCATCAAATCACTTGGGACGAAATACGGAGCGGGAATATTATTTTATGAGAATCATTGTTTATCCCTATCAGATATTTTTATGGTAGTTGTATATTGGTCTGTTATTTGCTAGCGAACTTGATAATGTTTTTTGGCTCTTTTTGGAAGAAATAGCATTTCAGGTTGCCGTCTAATATTAAACTAAATTGTGGAATTAAGAATAATTGGTTCGAAGGAAATTTTTGTCCCTGTGTTTTGCCGATTAATCAGATGTTGAAATAATTTAAAATGCTTTCTCACAGAAGTTTCCCTATTCTTTTTCTTTTTCTAAAACTTTAATGGTTCTTTTTTGCTAATTTTTAAGTGAAAAATACTTGTACATACGATAGTTCTACAAACACATTGATTCGGTCAGTGAATGGAAAAATGTTTAAAAAATCTTTAAAAAACATTTTTGCCTCGATCAGTTCTTTTAGATTTTTCAATTTGTTAACAATTTGGTGATAATATTAGAAAATGAAATTCATCTATTTCGGAATACCTATTTACAAAACTAATAGATAGCCTGCACGAAACATACTCAAATTTTGGGCTCAAATATTTCGGTCCCTAAACAATGGCTGGTAGCCTTCTTCCAGAATTGTCCATATTTTCCTCAAAATTACAACCAGATATCGTTGACATCTACCCTTTTCGGCTCACTTTGGTTTGCTCAAAACCTACGTCACGCATATGAAGCATGATCTTGTCGGTAGATATTTTTATTCTCAACCCAACCAGTTGCGTTATCTTTTTTTTATTCACCGCTTTTCTTTGATTGGGGGAGACAATAGAAACGGGTGTCCTGCTCGTAGAAGACAACGAGCTGGATAAATGTCAGGGTACCCGCAACCTATGCTCTTTCTCTTTTTTGCTCTTTCCATTCCTCGGCTATGATTATAGGTTGTCCATGCCGGGAAGATCTTTTTGGTCCTCTTTCATTTTCTTTTGGTTTTTGTTTCAGTCTGTAGGTTCAGTGGAGTTCTAAAATAGACAAAATCTAATTTCAGTTGATTGCTTTATGCACCTTACATCCAATTATTTCAACATCCCTCATTTGTAGTGATTTTTTCGAGTTTAGTGCAAACGATGGGCTCCAATATTTCTACTCCTTCTGAGGTGCAACCTGTTGAAGTGACTGAAGAGATGACAATTCAAAAGACGTGCGAGGAAGCGGCTGGCTTCAGAATCGGCTTCTACACCAAAGTTAGTTTCGCGGCTTTTTTGGAATCCTGTTCGTAAACTGTTTTCGGTGAATTTCGCACTTCAGTTCTAGCTCATTTCTTAGAGTCATTTAAAACTTTAGTTTGTTTTTCAATTACCACTCTTTGAACGCTCCTCATAGTTTTGTATGTTCAATACCAAAGCATTTCCTTATACCAGTATTTGAGGGAACTCAAAAACAGATAATTGCTTAACCAATTCGTCTAGTATCGGAATGATGTATCAATCGGAATAAATTTTTGTGAATGTAGTGGGATTGTCTGTACAAAATTCAAATGTCTTGGTAAGAATATGATTGTTAGCATTTCTAAAACGTGTGATTCTTCGAACACCAAACTTAATTACGGAAATTCTCCTTACGGGGCAAAAGTAGTTCGGGAAAAAAATTCTCAGGTGCCAGTTTTTTGAAAATTTGACAATAAAATACTTATTACAAATGTTCTTCACAGATCAAAGCAGGATGGAACTCTCAAGCCTTAAATGATACAAAGATGATTCATTATCTCTATCGCATCTTCTACATGGCGCCAAACGATCAAGAGGTGCAGGTCTTTGAGTGGCATAATTTTTTCGACATTCACCATGACGTAACTATTACAGAAAACTCGGTATTCATCTACTAATCGACCCAATTTTCAGTTTCCGATGCGCGTTCATATCGACAATAACGAGGACCACAAAAAGTGTGCCTCCATGGCTGAAATAATTGTGTGGTTCAGCAAGCCGGAAAAAGACAGGAATGCTTTGAGAAGACTCGGAAAGGCACCAAATAAAATCTACTGTCTGGGGTGCAAAACAGTCGAGGAGAAAGAGTTTCTCAGCTTGATGGCAATGAGAAAAATGACGGAACAAGAGTAGAAAATAAGTGTTGTCACTTGAGTTCAGATTGATTTTTCAGGAAAGCGGCATCTTCATCAGTTCTCACAATCAGCGACAAAGCAGTAAAACGATTGGGAATGTCACAATTAGATGTCGCAGTTGCGGCGAGAGAATGGTAAGCTCGATTCGTTATTCAGGTGGACCTGACACTATTGCTTCAATTTTAAATTTCCAATTAGCAAGTGAAACTTCGGAGTCCAATCAGTGACAAAAATTACAAAATTCAAGAAAAACGATAACTGCAAAACCTGCAATAGATGAGCCTACTAACTTCTCAATGTTGAGCATAACATCTAATTTTTTGTAAAATGTATGAATAAGTCGTCAACTGATGAATTTCGAAGCACAATATTGCAAGTATTGCATCGAACAAGTTTTTGATGCCTTGCGTAAGACCCAACATAAATTAGCTTAAATTTGTCATTGGTTCCATCAATTACAGGTTTTACTAAAAGAAAATGACTAATACCCACTTCGGTGTTTTCAGAAATTTCGTGTATAGAAAGCATTTTTCCAGTTGTGAATAAATAGCACATCAGGAAGTAATGGATATTTCATTTTTCCACGTGGGTAAAATCGGGTACATCAAGATTTCGCGCTTTATCTCAATCGCCACGCGGCGCGTATATGGATGGCAGTTGCAGTATCACCCTCGCAGTTCAATTAACGTTACGTGAGTCGCTAGTCAGCGAATTGAACTCCACGCGACTGAAAAAAGCGCGAAATCTCGATTCAAATCCATGTACCCGATTTTACCCGCGTGTTTTACGACTTCAATAGGAATTTCAAGCTTGGTCGTTTCATTTATCTAAAACCTACTGGCAAAACTAGAAAACGAAACAAAAATGTTGTCTGATAATACTTTCAAAACGTTTTTATATTATTTGACAGTTTTTGATTAAATGCATAAGACTGTTTCATTTCAGTGCGCGAACTCCTACAACCAATCCTTGTCAAAATGCCCTAATGTCAAGTGTCATCGGACTCCCTCTTCGCCGTTCGGCCTCAGCACTTTTGTTCCCAGTGACCGATCTTCTTGACCAACATTGCATTAAGGAATCTAAAAACAACATGTTGCTCGATCCTTCCTCATGGCACATGGACAAAGCATCTTCTTCATATGATCTTAACAAAGCTGAAACTAAACCCAAGAAAAAACTGTCGAGGGCCGATTTCATACCCAAAATATTTGTTGGGGGCAAAAACTTGGGAGAGCCTTCTGAGAAAACAGAAAAGGCTTCGAATTCTGAAGAGTTCGTTTATTGAAAATTAGAGAATTTAATAAACCAGTTTCATTGCAGAATTCAGCGGAAAAACGGGACCGTTGACATACCGATATTGAAGCAAAGCGAGGCTCACAAAAAGTCAATCGCAAAACGCAAAATGCATGGTATAAAAAAACTTATTTTCTATAAAATCACATAAGAAAACGATTTTAGAGCGTCTTCTGAAAGCTAGTGAGTGGTGTCGCGTCACCGATGAGGATAAAGCGGTACTTGTAGAAATTAAAGTTCGCCAGAGACTTCTCCTTATCCAGCACGTTAGTACCATAACAAACGCTAACATTTAAATATTGACTTTTCAGTACATCCGAGGGTGGCAAGATATGGGAATCAAAGACAAGTGCATGGCCAAATGGTTGATGGATGACATTACCAAGCCACTTCACTCTCGTCGCTTCGCCAGTTTTGAATATCATCATTTTATTCCATCACATGATCTTCAGATCATCACCAAATGTAAGTCGTTATTTAGAAGACAGTACTTGTGCATTTAATATCTTGATTAAAGTGAACAAAGCCCAAATGGAGAAATATGCAAGAAACTATATAATGTATATGCAACGTGTTGAAAGTCTAAAAAGCTATACAAGTGGTCGTGGTGAAATGCAGAAGAAATCGGATGACTCTGGTTATCCGCAACTGTGAATGTTATTGTATTATGAAGTCTTCATATTTTGCATGTGTCCGTGAGAAATAATTGTAAGGGAAACCTTTGTCTGTAAATAGGGTAATTATACGGGTTCGATTGAAAATTTTCAAAAATATCAAATGTTAAATTACCGCAAATGTTTTAACAGAAGACGACGTGCACTTTGGGCTCAATTATCTCTGTTCCTTTAAAAGATATCAAAATTTTGTCAATTGATAAATTATTTGTTTTAATCAATTCTTCTTTCAGTTGACTAATTTTTGCTGTCTTTCACAGGAATCGAGATAACTGAGCACAAAGAGGACGGTTAGGTGGGCTTCTTTGGGAACATTTATAAGGGGTTGATCGCAAGTTTAGATTACGTTTTTTTAACCGGATTCCGTAGTCCGAATTTTCTCATTTTGGATTCCGAGGTATTTATTAGATCCTGGGTTCCCGGACAAACACGCTCTATGATATTTGGAATGAAGGATACCGTATTTTCTCCAATAGAAACTTACCTAACCGTCATCTTCGCGCTTAATTATCTTGATTCCTGTGAAAGATAGTGAAAATTTGTCAACAAATAAAATATTTGTCAGATTGTAATGAATAGTTTATAATTTGATAACTGTTTCATATCTTTCTCGGGAATCTAGATAAATGAGTTCGAAGGTTTGGGTGGGCTGCTATTAGACGAAATACGGTATTCCGTATTTGAAATTTCGCGAAATTTCAGCCTTATTCGACTGAAAATCAAAAATCCATTAAATCCAAATCTCTATGTATCCGTGATGCTTTCTCCTGAAACTTTCAGGCAGTGATGTGACAGATTAAGCTATAATTCGTTTTCCTTTTTCAGAGTAAGTACGAAATCCAGCAAACCCCGATTTGATGTCCACAGTGTTCAACCACCAATAATATATTCGTTTTCTACCAGTCCTGCTCATTCCCATCCTCAGAAATAACCATCATTCAAATCTTTCCTTCTTCTTTTTTTCAATTATGTTTCCCATCTTTCCCATTTTCAAGAATTGAGAACCTCCCTCCTTTTTTCGAACCCATTTTTCTCTGTCTCCCAAGCTCTTTGCGTTTGTATATAGATTCCAAAATTCATACCGAAAATAGGTTTTCTCCTCTCTCCTCTCTCCTCTCTGTCAATTTAATTCAATTGAATTTGGTATAAATCTTTGTTTTTTATCAGAATTCCAATTTCATTCTTTTTCTCAAAATTTTGAAAAAATGCACAATTATCTCCTACAACTTTTATAGTTAAGTTACAATTCGTTTTTCTAGGACTTTCGAAAAACGAAAAAATGAAAGCACACTCCAGCTACATAGTTTTCTTGGCAGCTAAATTGGCACTTTTCCCACAGTTCAACTCCTAAAACACACTTTGTTCACATTCATCCAAAAAGTCATGATTTCAAAAAACTTTTTTGGAGCTCGTCTTCCTTTTTCGTTTATACGAATACCCAAAATATAAGGTCTATTGGAAAAATATTTTTCGAAAATGCCCGTAGATTTATTTTTTGGATTAGTTGTAGTAAAAGTAATTTCACAGTGTTCGTTTGGTTTTAGAAAAACATTTGGAAACATATGTTCGGGATTAAAATGCTCTCTTTCATTTTCATATCTCAAAGACTTTTTAGCAAAAATCGGCTGAGTCCTCCACAAATCATCCTAATATGGATAATGTTAGATTGCAAATTTGTCTCATTGAACTCAAGATTTTGGAAAAAAGTCATGATTTCAGTTTTTTTGTCTGTCAATCTACTTTGTTCTGTTCTTTTCTCCTTTTTTTCATTCGCAGGATTCAAGAAAGGCGACGGTCATAACTCAAACGCTCCACCCGTCGCCTTTTCTTATTTCCCCCAAAAAATTATCATTCGAAATCTCAGAATAACGTATTTCGGATTTCATAGCTCTTTTTCCTTTAGTTTTTTTACCGCCTCTGAACAAAGCAATTGATGGTCGTTTTTAGAAGGGGAGCAGGCAAATAAGTAGGATTGATTGTGTGTGTCGGAAAAAGTAACGGCTAGATTTGATAGGAAATGTTTTAATATCAAAATAAGGTCGAGGTGTGTTATTGACTTTTTTGCACGGAGGTTGGAAATGTTTTCCAATGTGTTGAAAGTTGATTGCTTCAAGTACAAGTAGTATTCCAAAGTACAAAGAGTTGGAAAACATTTTAAAATGTATCGAGCCGATTTATCATACTGAATTGTAAGCATTTTATCTCAATATTGTTTCCAATGATTTGAATAAGTATCTTTTTACCGTATTTTATGTCTCAGACCACGCATTTTGTCAAATTTGAACTCAATCATCTCGATGTTTATGAAAAATATCTAACATTTTCAAACTGTAACAATAAAATGTTGATGAAATAATTATAAATAATTTATCAAATTTGACAAATGTTCGCTATGTTACGCAGGAATCGAGGTGATTGAGCTTAAAGTTGACGATTTGAGTGGGCTTCTATTTATTAGAGCAAATACGGTACTTAAATGTATGTCAGAGTGATTTTGGGATTTCAGATCAAAAACAGCAACAAACATTTAAAGTCGATGATTTCCCCTAATACAACTTTTTATTCAAAAAAAAACATGAGACCCCACCCAGAAAAGCAACATTAAACTGGTAGTAATAAATTGGCGGTTGTCATTTTCGATTTTCCATCATCTAGAGAACGGCTGCTCTTCTCTTCGGTGTCATTTACTATTCTCCTTTCGCCCCGTTATTTTGTGTCGACAACTATCGTTCACTTAGTCGCTTGCGTCTCATTCATTCTCATTCAAACATCACTCTCGGTTTTTGGGTAAATGCACCAAAAGAGAGAAATCTCAAGCACTCAGCCCAATGTTTTAGGACTTCGAAAGTCGATTCAAATGGGGACTCTAATAGTTTATCTGCGCATGCTCATTTTCTTCCACGTCATCCTTCAAGAATTTGTATAGAAATTAATTTTTAGAAAAATAGTTCTCTTTTTTCTGTTTATAATTATTTTTTTGGCCTTTGAAAAAACACAGCTTCTAATTTTTAACCGTTCTTATCAGTGGATTTTCACTGACACCGTCTATCCTATTGTCGGGTAGCGTTTCTCTGTTTTCAAATTCTGACCCCCAGACACATAAAAGAGGTACATACCGTAGTCCTACTCAACAAATTCGAAAATCGTTGGAATCTGAATGTTTTTTTTTTCTTGAGGACACCTGTACAAAACATAGACCACCTGCCAATGTTTTGTTTTACGTCTACTTTCTACTCTAAAAACAAAAAAGTAAACATAGGTGGGTTGGGGGTGTCTGGAAAAACATATCCTTACTTTTTACAAACTTGGTCTTATGAGAATGTAAGCGGGATATACAGTAGGGTATAGGCTAGAAATGGAGGTGAATTGCTCAATTTTGCAATTCCAGAGAGATAAGCAGCGTCGCTTTTTTCTGTGTCTTCTCATCTCTCGTTATGCATTAATTCATTTTATTTCCATACACCGAATCAATCGTCGTCGTGTCCCATATCACCCCCCCCCCCCATTTCCTGCCACCTCTCTCTTGCATTTTGCTCTCTAGAGAACACGTGTTCGTTCGTTGTGTCTGTCGAAAGAAACGAAAAGTTGTCTAGAAAAACATGATTTTTTCAATTACTGTCAGCCAAAAACCAACGGGTGACCTGTTTTTCTACTAGTAGCTAGCTTTTTGCGCTTCTTCAAACATGTTCAGTCTCTTCGGAAAGTTGTGTAGGTTCATTTGCATTGGCTTCCAATTCTTATCTTCCCGATCAAAACATGCCCACGTAATCATCGGTACCTCTCTAATTCTCCAATTACCACCGTTGGATCTCAAAAGGTATGCGACCGCAATTCTATCACTTTCCTCACAAGCTATTGACAGTTGCTTCGTGTTCTCTCTTTTTTCCTTGCTACTTTCTGGTTAATACTTCTAGTTTCCCGTTATTATTTCTTTTCCGAACAATGATCAGATGGGAAAGAACAACCAAAAACTTTGACGTGAGCATATGATGAACATATATTTTTGTATTTCTAGAGGTCCTCTCCTATGTCTCCCCCAGATCCCCCAATGGTGCATCAGAAGTTTCCCATCTGTTGTTCTTTGAAGTATCGGTATCTCATGACATTCTATTCCGAAATGGTTTTTGAAGAGGCCGGTATGAGAAGACTCCTTTCATCTACTTCGTTCTCTAGTTTCAATACTGTTCAACACACTAGCAACATCTGATGACCATTCTGTCTTAAAGAAAGAAAGAAAAAACAGACTCCGCCCATATCCTGTGTCTCTCGATCTTTCATCTCACAGTCGTTTGACTCATTTCCATACCACGAGACCATCGACAATGCTTCTCTCCTTTCATTTCGCTCCCCTCTCTCCCGAAGAACACAGGTTTTTGTCGCTTCTTGGTAGGAACAAGAATATCAATTAAACGGTTGACTCTTTTTGGTTATCAGCTCTGAATTTCCTCTAAACTAATTTTGGAAATTGATCGATTCTCTTGCTCTGATATGATTTTTAAGAACACAATTACTTTGATTTTCAAGATCCCTATCAGTCGACCTTCATTGCAGGCATTTATCGATCTCTAACTCTCTTATCTTTCTTCTTCTCTGAAAGATCCGAACCTAAAATTTGCCCTTTCTACACCCTCTCTCCCTGATTGTGATATTTCTCTTCAATATTTTTGAACAGCGACAGACAGTTGCTTAGTGTTCTTCAACCTCTTTTCACGACTTTCTGATCGTCTTCCTCTGTTGTTTCTTTGGTCGTTTTTGTACTGTTTCCTAACTTTTCTCAGTTCGTCTAGTCACATGTCAATCGAACAGCTCATATGTAACGATTCACAGCTCCTATCATGACAAAAAAAAGCGGACGTTTTGAAGATGGTAAAGGAGTTTGATCAAATGGTTGCTTGTGCTGATGATAAGATTTTGGGATCCCACAGAGCTATATTCGAGGTACGCTTTCCTGGAGTTGACAGAAGGAATGGGCCAGAAATA